TGCTTTTTTTACAAAATTTATTTGCCTACTAGCCCTTCCCTCCTTCCTCACGGGGTTCAGAAACCTGACGTAGTTGTTCGCGGTGTTTGGGAGCATACTAGTAATGTCACTGACAGGAACAGCCACATCGATTGTCCTGGTGGTCCTGGTATTCTTGATATAAGTCTCTGTTAAGAGTCAGGGGTACTAAGTTTTTTGCCTTTTTTTCGTGGTGCTACTTGAAACTAATATTTAAATACAAGACGAATCCAGGACGGGCGGACGATTTTTCTTCCCCTCCCTCCTTCGTCACTAAACCTCTCCCCTCGTCCTGCTTGCTACCCACCGCTCGATCGTTCCGTTATCCCCTCCCCGTCTCCCCTCTAGTCGACCCTAAACCACGGCGATGAGCAGGGGAGGGTAGGACAGACGGTATCGAACAGAGTTTTCTGCAGTAAAACAGCTGCTTCCTGAGTCCCTGGGAATCCCTTTCCGCCCTTCCCTCCTCTCTCCTCTGGGAACCGCCGATGCTTAAATACGACCCAAAAATACGCCATTTCAACGTTTTTTTGATAATTTTAAAAAAAAATCAGGATCATTTGGCCGTGGCGGAGTATTCGATGCATTGAGAGTGAAAAGTCAACAAGTTGTTGATGTGTACGAGTTAGCCGGGAAAATGGGTGATTTGCATGTTGGCGATGCACACCTGGTTAAGAATATTGCCGAAGAGTTGCCGATAACTCCTTTGCGACAAGGTTTGAAGATTTTTTCCCTTTTATAGGTCGTCCTAAGTGTGGTATTTTTTAGGCATACTGATTTCCGCTGTATTTATTCTTGCTATAAACGAGTATTTTCACTTTTTAGATAGATAGATTTCTGGGGATTCCTTGGTAGATTTCTGGGGATTCCTTGATAGATTTCTCGGGATTCCTTGATAGATTTCTCGGGATTCCTTGATAGATTTCTGGGTGTTGTAGATAGATTTCTGGGGATTCCTTAATAGATTTTTGGGGATTCCTTAATAGATTTCTGGGTGTTGTTGATAGATTTCTCGGGATTTCTTGATAGATTTGTGGGTTTTGCAACGTGTAATCTTAGAGAATCCTTGTGATCGTTGAAAATTAAAAGATTTTACGGAAATTAATGCTCATTAAGGAGTCATAAATACTAAAAAACTTTTTTTAAGCAGTCCTCAGAGGGTACTGACCAGTTGCAGTCCTCAGAAGAGAATGACCAATTGCAGGGGCTCAGAAAATAATGACCAATCGCATGCTTCCAAGAATAGCAGGAAGTTGTTGTTGGAATTTGCGATCGGTCATTGGCTAGTATTAGGATGACTATAGGGATAGCTTATAAATCATTAAAGTCCTGAAAATCATGATTTTTTTTTCTAGCTTATTGTGAAAATCATGATTTTTTTTCCATTGTGCATTCAGGAAGTAGTTTTCGAAACACGGGTGATGATGATGATGATGATGATGAGCCAACAACTTCCAGGCAGCATAGCAAATGGAAAGTTTCGGCTGTTTTGCTGGTAGCACAGCACTATCGTAAACGAGGTTCATCTTCCCGTGTTTGTTTGTCTGCTTTTTTTTCTTTTTTTTTTTTAACGGAGAGATTTTAAAACAGTAGAAATTTTGGTATTATTATGCATAAGCTTGTTGTTAGCATGGTTTTATACTTTCATCCCTTAGCAGTATCATAAATTTGAAGATGAAATAAGCCAAGATGTGCTGGCAAAATGTCTTCGAAAACTTGCTTCATACGCGATAGATTCGGGTGCTCGAAGTATACATATGCCACGTATTGGATACGATAAGCGAAATATCAGCTGGTATGCCATCGAACGGCTAATTTGCCGAATTTTGGTCGCCCGGGGTATTCACACTTACATTTATTATTTCAACCGCAGAGCCAGTACCAGTGCTGCTTCGGATATCACGCCTGGTAAGTTGTAGAACTAATTTTTCCTTGTAAATTTTAATAAATATCAAATAATAATCGGCATTTATCCAGTGAAATTGTTATTGCTTTTATAAAGTATTTATATTTGTAAAATTGCTTTGTAAATTATTGGTATTTGTAATTTGTAAAATTTTCTTTTGTTTTATAATTTTTATAAAATTTTTTATAAAATTATCTTTAATTATTTTTAATAATTTATTTTTAATTGATTAAAAATTATAAAATTATAAAAAGTTTTATAAAATTTTTTTTGTTTTGTCTTATTGGTATTTGTAAAATTTC